ATGTAGCGGTTAGTATGCACGAAAGAACGGCATGGCAAAAAAAGCGTCATGTTCCATACACTTGATAAAGTATTCAAATGATTTAGCAAGTGATTGCGCGTAGTATATTAGTTTCAAAGGAAAAATCGTATGTGAGTGGCCAAAAACGTCACGTGACGCGGAATGTGGCGTGTGGCGTGTGGACACTGCTAAAATGATGTACGCCACAATCCATAGGAAAGCACGTCTGAAATACCTTCCCGTTCTATCATTGCGCGCGGCGATACTCACTCACGTACATGATTTTCCATATGTTTTTGCAGATAACACGATAAACCGCGCGCAATAACGTCTGTGTATGGCCAGCTAATGAGTAAATAGACGTTTGCGGGAGTAATTGTACTTAAAGTGGCAAATAAAACGCTGTTTTAAGTCTTGTAAGATTAAAAATTTTCTATAGATGTCGCCATGTTTTATATAAAATATAGAATCCGCCATGTTGGACATTTTCAATAGGCAAAGAAAAAGTTATATTATTATAAAATATGCACCTTACATCCTCCTCAACAACTCAAGAACGGTGTGTCCAAACATGCAATTGAATTATGAAAAGCATTTAGATGTTTAGATGCAAAATAAAATTTGACGATATGTTTTAATTATTTTTTAAATAATAAAAACATTACATTGATAGCGCCGGAGTTATGCGGAAGTATTTTATTATATATATATTTATATATATAAATTTCTGACTAAATATATATATATTATATATATATTTAGTCAGAAAAGTTTCACCCGTAGTTAAATGTTTTACCAGAATAGTTTGCAATTTGAATATGTTTTATGGTCTGCTTTATATATGGCGTTATGATTAAAATATTACCTCTTTGCTATTTTATTAAAAAGTTATTCCACTTTGGTAAACAAAAAAATAAAACCCTTTTGGGATTAATTATATTGATTCTTAAGGTTATTTAGTGTTCTGAAAGTATATTTTAAATGCAAATAAGTTTTAATACATAAATTGCCTTGAAAAACTTAAAAAAAATGGAATACTTTTAAAATTTAGTTTGAAGACCTTTTTAGGATGGGCCCTTTTTGGCTAGAAGCTGTTTTATGATAGTTCTAAGGCTGTCTTGAAGATCATTTGGTTTTATTGTATAGTTTTAAAGCGATCTTGGCGATAGCAATAAGAGCATAAGTGTAACTTGGGTTCTTAGATTGATACAACTGTTTTTATTTATTGTATTGTTAGATAACAATTATCTTTCCATCTTTGGATTTACTTAACAATCGTAAAAGATTGGCTAAAGAATTATGCAAAAATTATTTTGATCAATATGCGTAAATATTCCTGAGAATTCATTTATTGCATTCAAACTTTTTTTTCTAAAAATCTCAGTAACCAGAGTGGCGTAACCAAGTAACCAAGAAATGAAGCCTATCAGAAATTTTCAGATGAAGAAATGGTGAGGAATTATATTTGGTTTCCGAAAAAAAACAAAAAAATAGAAAGTAATATTTGTCGGCGATTTGATTGTTTATTTTGACACCTTTCTAACTCGAGATATGACCCAAATTGTAAAGCTACATTCGCTACTTCTTTTTTGTTATTTTGTAAACCAGTGTTATTTGCCAATACAAAAAAACATGTTGAAAATATCATTAAAAATTACTTGTGTAGAGAGAGTTGGGACAAAATTTTTGTTAATTTTTTTACTAAAACAATTTTGCTGGACGTTTAAAAGTAAATAACTTATTACCGAAATAAAATTAAATGCATTTGGTTTTTTTAATGTTTGGAAAAGTTGTTACAGGAAATGAACACGATATTTTTTAGCAGAGTGGACTCTTTTTATATTTTTTAATACTTTGAATCACCTCGTTTGAATAGGAAAGTCAATTTAAATTTGTACGTAGATTCCTATTTGTGATATCTTACTATACATATGAATGAATACTCGCTTTATTATAATATGTCTGAAAAGGAGGGAATAATAAAATGAACAGCCTGTGGATTTGGCGTGTCTACCGTACTCAGGGACGTACTGAAGGTCCCCATAATGAAAATTATTAAAATTTTGCCTAATTTTTAATCTTTATATGTAAAAAAATACATTAGATTGATTGCGAAATTTTTAAAAATTAAAATTCTTACAACATTTCTACAAGGGACACGAATTCGCAAAAAAATTGACTGAAGATAAATGGCATAGCAGTATAATACATCTACAAATTTCGTTTAATGTAATACTTTCCAAAAGGAAGGCTCAATTAAACAAAAATCGTAAATTGACTATCAATTTGATTTACCTAATCTGGAACCACTCGAAAATTTAAACTCATTAGTCGTCCTTCACGAACGAATAATTTTACAAAATAATCAAACATAACGATTCAAATTTCTCAAGAAATATTTAAATTTACTTTAGCTGTAGCTAAGTTTGTGATTAAAAAAATTAAATAAAAGAAAAGCCGAGTTTCTGGAAAGTCACTGCAAATTGTCTATTTATTGTTTGAAATTACTACAAAGAATTTAATCCTTGAATTCATGAACTTATTGATTTAAAGTAGTGGCGCCCGAATGAAATCCCAACCTTACAAATTGTGCCGTTTTTTTAAATTACTTCGTTTTAATTTATTTGTCGCTAATATAGGTATTCCATTTTATATATATATATATATAGGTATTCCATTTTATATATATTTCCTTTTACGTATAAAGTAGATAAACGGACTGCACTGGTTAACTAAATTAGCTTATTGAGAAGATGGCTTTATCCGAATGTGAAGGGGTGGATTTAGTTTTAATAAAGTGGTCAAAAATCAGGCATTTCTTGTAACCAAATTGACTAAATTGAGACCTTTAAGCTTTAAAATATTCTTTTTCTACTCCCACCTTTAAAACGCCCTTTATCGTACATGTTGACAAGTTGTGGCTTTATGGCGCTTTAGTCACGGGCTGAAGTTAGCAACAGGTTTTTAGTCACGGGCTGAAGTTAGTTTTAAGTTAGTTGACAGTTGTCAACTGTCATACAATCGTTAAAATAAAGTGCCTTTCTTGTAAAATAATACTAAATGTGAAAATTATTTTATTATCTCAATACAAAAATACAAAAATATTAAATAGTTTCTCAACGCCAATATTTGAAAAGTTTATATGAACATTGTACTTTTAATTTCGCCGGCAGTAAACTATTACTTAAATTCGGGCACGGACTCTATTCTAAAGTCCTCATAAAACATTTTCTATATTTTCACTGTTAAAAACTGTCAATTTTCAAGAAATACATTTCGATTTATAACCTTTAATTATAATTGTGTTATAAAATGTAAAAATGTGACATTTGACGGTGACACACAGTTTCCCCTATTGTTTCATAGATGGCGCTCTATGCAAATTTTTAATTTAAATCATTTTAAGATAATAATAAGTATTTGTCGTAGAAAAAGTATAGTATGCACCTCGTTTATAAACTATTCTATACACTCATTAATTTAAACACTCGCTTGCAAGCTCGCTCGTGCCTAAATTAAATTCGCGTATAAAATGGCGTTTATCAAACTTGATTCATAATATACTATAATGTACTCTTTAAAACAAAATATGTTTTTGAATTTTATGTTGAGTTTTATTGAACACATAGGCCTAAGATAAAATAGTTTTCTTAATGGGTTTTAATGAGTACATCAACGGTACATAAAACTACATTAAATCTATTTGTTTCAAAATGGATTGTTTTAAAGCCAAATTAGATTGGTTTTAAAATATTTATTATTATTATTAAAAAACAGTATAAGATCAATAGGGCATTAAGAGCAAATAGTTTTTTTGTATTTCAGTTTAAACAGTACATTTAAATTATTTGCATCTATATATCTTTAAATACATTTTTTTTAACCACCATTCAATGGAATATATTATTAGACCTCAGAAAATTCCGACTCTGGAAAACTTGGGGGTGTGATAACCCTCCCTCCCTTTGCTACATCCCTGGCCGCACCTTTAATTTAATCTATTTAAAGTCTATTCTATGCAGTAAATTTTCAGGTAATCCCAACGTAAAATATCTACAACTTTATGTTATATAGTTTAAATTTAAGTTTGGCTTACTATCTTTGAACTTACATGTACAGTAAATCTCTTACATAAGATTTATTATACATATTATGGTCAGTGATTTTCAGTTTTATCCTTTTAGCCTCAAAGAAATAATAAAAATTTAAAATGATATAAAATCTGTATTATTTGGATTTTTTTAATAAAATTTAAAATTTGTCGATAAACTATGGTAAGTAATAAATTGTACCAATTAAATTTATATTATATTTATTGGGGGCGCTATTGGGCCGAGCAAAAAGTTATCTTTTTTCGCAAACTTCAATTTAAATTCTGCTTGCGTATTTAATTTTTTAATTTATTTAATGTCATTATAAACTCATATAAACTTGGTGTGGGTCCCATATCTAATAAATGAGATATCGGTATACCCAAAATCCACCAGCCGCCAGTGGCAGCCCGCCACTGCTTTTAGGTAGGTATATACTGCTTTTAGGTAGGTATATGCACAATTGTGGGTATATGTTTAAAATTGACTTTAATATGTGTGGTTTTTACGGGCCATTTTTTCTTTTTCATAATAATTATTAGAGAAAAACATTAAGATAATAGTTGAAAAGAAAAATTTGTATTATTTTTTAGTTTCATTAAGATAATCTTAATCTTAATAAGATTATACTACTTTACCAATGATCCTTGGTTACGTATTTAATGAAATATCTTGAAAACATGAGCTATGTAATTGAGCAAAATTTTTTAGTTATGCTTGGGATGTATATTTGTTGCAATTTTAGTACGATAAACTATTTTTCCCATGTTGACAAAGAAAAGTGTCAGTAAATTTTTCACTTTTCAGTATACCTTACCGCATCAACTTTTTGTGAAAAAAATGAATCGGGTGTCGAAAGCACTTCTTACAAATCAAATTTTGCGCCATTACTTTCTATAAATAGTCGACCATCTCCCAAACAACTGAAGGCAAGGCTGTCTTGATCCCACCACGGCCGACTTTGTGACGTCATTTTGTCCAATACCTACACACTGCAGGCTACAGTGTGCGGATAGTTAAAATAATAGTTGGACGGATTGTTTTTATTGTGCTGTGTTGTTTTGTTTTGTTTTTACATACGGATCTAGGGTTTTATTAACAAGGTAAATTTGTACGTTGTAAAATAATCGATTTCCTCGTCCGCATTTTCTCAAGGTTAAAGTATTTCGCGAGTTTTTGAATCGATGGAATAAAATCATAGAAACCTGTCAGTTGTAGAAAATGTCACGTGGTTATAATAATCAAACAAAAAAGTAGAATTAATGTAACTTATGAATATAATTTATTTTTCTGCGATTAATTTTCAAAATAACGATAAGAAGGTTAAACATGAAGTAAACATTATTAATAATATAAATTACCAAGAATTTTGGTTTACTGATAATTATGAGTGATTAATACAATAATATAAATTCTCAAAATAATGATTTTGCTACGATTTTTGTCTCTAAAATTAGGTTACGTTCCACTTTTGTATTTATTTTTAAATTATTAAATTGTGCGTAACGGAATACCTATAAACCTTAAAGAATAATTATGTCAATCGATTTATTAAATAATTATTTATCGATACCGGGAAATTCGATAAAGTTCATCACAGTTTTAATATTTGCAACTTTCATCTAGATATACCAAAAAGGCCTACTTTGAAATTTGAATGAGAAACGCATCCTTATGATCATATAACAAATATGATGACGAAGAATTGGGGTTAGGATCTTTCATGTATACATAGAGGAATTATAAATAAAAATATATTTTTACATTACCATTTTTATTAAGACATAAATGCACCAAATAGACCAAATTAGCGTTTTTAAATTATAATTTATTCCTATTCTTAAACAGTTACCTAACCTCAATTGTTTATTAAAGTATATATACTTTAATAATAATAATTATAAACATCTTTAAACACTACCCAAGCGACTAATATGACGTTTATCAAACTTTTTGCATAATATACTATTTTAATGCTTGTTTGGAAGTTTTTTAAGACTGAGACTTAACATTAATATTAATACTATTAGTTATTTATTAAGTACAAAACGGTTGTTATTTAACCAAAAACCTTAATGGTCATGCGACAGTGTGAGTATTTTATTAGAAAATCTAATTCGTATACCTAAATACGCCCCTGGTGAAGCTTACTAATCGAATTCATTTGAATCACCCTGTAGTCCCGGAATTTGGAACAAATTAAACAAATAGCGACTGGCTAATTAAAATACTGGCCGAATTTTTAGTTTAATTAAATACTAAAGTTAAAGCGATTATGTTTAAATTAGTCTCGAATTCCAAAATTATTCGCAATAGTTTTGGTTAATTTATTTATTATAAACATTTTACATTACATACCTACTGTAATTATTGTTAATATAAAGTTATCCTTGAAAATTATAAAGATTTTTACTGTTCTTAAAATGGAATTGATCTTGAAAAAAGTTAGACAAGGTTTATTACAAGCTGTTAAAATACATATAACAAAATATTTTATTAAAGAAAGTAGATTTTTACTGTATGAACACATAGAAAGACACATTAATTTTCATAGAAAATTGGCATTAAACCAATTGTTTAAAATTAATATTACACTGTGTATTGTTTAGTATCACTAAATTGTAACATTTCATCTTAGACGCTATAATTAATAATATATTGTATGTACAAATTTTATTTAATGCTAGGTTTGTAACACAAATTAACAAATAATCGACAAATAATTGACATTAAAAACTTTGTTTTAATGAATAATATTGTGTAAATACGAGGTGTGTTCAGAAAATAACGGGAATTGTTAAATTTCGCGGGTTCGGAGGGTCCGGTTGTCATAAAATTCTTTATTATGTTGGTATATATGCCCCCGAATTATGATAAAAACTTTAGCTGTTTTCATTGTTTACTTTGTCTGTGGCAGCCGCTAAGGTTAGACGTGTTTTATGAGCTCGGCGATTTTTCGTTCGTTAAAAGAAATGGATCAAAGATTTGTATCCAATTTTGCTTAAAAAATGAAATAAATTCTGTGAAATGTTAACAAAGGCCTATATTGAGTCTGCTATAAGTAAAACAAGAGTTTACAAGTGGTATAAGAGTTTCCAAGATGGCCGTGAAGACGTTGAAGATGACGATCGCCCTGAACGCACAAGTACATTAACAACCGATAAAAATATGGAAAAAGTGGAAGAAATGGTTATAAACCATCAGAGAAGTCGCTGGTGATGTTGGTATATCGATTGGCTCATCCCATGAAATTTTTTCGAATGTTTTGGGTATGAAACGCGTGGCAGCAAAATTTGTTCTAAAATTGTTAAATTTATAACAACATTTTTGGCCAAAAACAATACTGTAATGATGCCCCAGCCTCCATATTCGCCAGACATGCCTCTGTCTGACTTTTTCCTATTCCCAAAAATAAAGAGAACCTTAGGGCCGTCGTTTTGCAAGCATAGATGACATTAAAAGCGCATCTCTGAAAGAAGTAAAGGCTATCCCAAAGATCAAGTTTAAGAAGTGTTTTGAGTATTGGAAGAAGAGCTGGCACATGTGCATAATATCCAATGGGGACTATTTTGAAGGCGACAACATTAATGTAGACGAATAAATAAATTTTTGTTTCAAAAAACGAAAATTCCCGATATTTTCTGAACACACCTCGTATGTAGACAAATTTTATTTAATGCTGGGTTTGCAACACAAATTAACAAATAATTATTATATATTATTATTATAATTGACATTAAAAACTTTGTTTTAATGAATAATATTCTGTAAATATAAATTTGTCATTTAAGATCTTTAATTGAAGAGTTATACCAAAAATAACCCAAAGTATTAATTTAATATGAATATGTTCAGTAATTTAATTCGTTTTCAAAAAAGTCATGAATTAATTGAAACTTTTGCTACTAATTTAATTGCACCCCTTTGATTTATAGAATTTTTAACATTCTTTGTTAAAATTTAATATTTTTGAGTAAAAACAAAAACAATAAATTTGATTGGCTTACCAAAAAGTGCTATATTTCGTTTAATATTGGGAATTTTAAAAATTGGTTAAGAGAAAATTTCAGAAGGTTTCAAGGAATTCTTAGTTAAAATATTTTTCAATTGATTTTTATTAAGCGGTTAATAATACGCCGATTGTATTCGCGATTGTTAATAATTAATAACAACATTACTATTTAGATAAAATATTCATATTCAAACGGTAACAAACATTATTTTAGGAAGGTACACATTTTTTCTGTTGAGCCAAATTTGAACTTAATGCAGCACGAATATTTTCTTTGTCCATCGGCTTTTATCGAATTTTACAAATAAACAACCGTTACCAATAGCCCAGTTTTCTTGATAAAAGCATTGGTTTTGCTACCTTGACGTTTTTTAAATTTGACCATGACATTCAAATTGACACTGTCAAATTCTTACAAATTTACGGTTGTTTTTGTATACCTATAGGTATTATGAAAAGGATAGAAATCCTCGTTCGTTACATGCCTAATATCGGCCTTTTGTCGTTATATACTTTTAAAATCTTATGTCGGTAAAAAAACTAGAGCTAATAGAGCAAAACCTGCTTGTCTGTAACTTTTTGTGTGTTGACCGGTGTTACAGATTAATTAGCTGTTCTTTGAAAGCGGCCTTTTCAGCGAAAAGAGAAGTTTTAAAGTCGCTAAAATCTATTTCCAGTAGTTTTCAGTCTTGAAACGCCCCCGCGTTAAGGTGCCGAGACTTTTCTAAAGAAACGTCGAGGTTTGATTAATAGACGTACATTTTCTCTCAGTCCCGCGACCTTTTAATATCAACGGCTAATTATACCCAAAGCTTTCTTTGTTGATTGATAGATCTAAATCCAAAGGATTACAATTTTAGTATTGATAATTCTCCAGGTGAAGCGCATTCAATATTTTATGATTTGGATTAAATTGGGACAGGATATCACAAATGGTTTATCTGCATTTTGCATAACTGCCTATAGTTCATCAAAACTAAAACAAGTGGAAATTAAACAAACTAAGGTTTTTATTTAATAAAAATTAAACCATCAAAATGGTAGGTATACACAAGGGGGGACCTTATAAAATTCATTTTTGAATTTTGTTCGTGCCGCCTCCTAAAACTCCAAATAAATCCTGTCAAGTTATTATTATAAAAATTAACCCGACCCTCCACTCGAAAGCAGTTTTCTTTGAGAAAAACATGTTTTTTAAAATCAAACTTTAAATGTTTACAACTCAGAAACTGTTTAATTTACAAGGTTAAGACAAAGAAGCTAAAATCAAAGCCGTTTTAATGAACATTACTTAAAAACCATTCTATAATATAGTAGGTATTTATAATTAATTTATAAAAATTAAATGTTTAATACTAGTAACATAATGTTACTAACATTAAATTAAATATCTAGCAATATTGTATACATGTGTATTGCAATATTGCAATACTATATATAAAATATCAATCAGAAATTTGTAAAAATTGATAATTATTGATAATTTTAATTGATCCTTAGTAAAAACGACTTGTATATCACAAATAAATTGTATGTATATATATAAACAAAGTTAAAAAATGACCTTTATAAAGACCACTCTAATGTATACCTACTATTTTGATGCTTGGTGGATAAAAACCGGTTTTTTTTTCGGAAAAAAAAACCGGAAAAATTGGGAAATTTTAGAAAAATAGGGAAATTTTCAGAAAAATGTATTGCATTTTATTTAAAGGGTAGGTACTTAATACGAAAAAAATTAAAATGTCGAGTTTTATATGTTTTTTTTCTGTATTAAATTTAGTATCCTTAAAAGTTATTAGTTAGTTTTTCTAAAAAAGACAATTTTCGACAATTTTTGTATATTTTTAGAAAAAAATATTTTTTTCCAAAAAAGATAATTTTTCCAAGACCTGGGAAAAACAAAAAAAACAGTTTTCCCCCCAATTTTTCCGGTTTTTTTTTCGACACTTTCCGTTTTTTTGACACTTTATTAATAGGGTTTTAACAAAACCCTAGTAGTAAGTATAAAATACATGCTACCTAACTAGTTTTATAAACGTCATTTTAAGAGTTTGCGTGGCGTTTATAATATGGACGAATGAAAACTGA